CTGGGAATCTACATTTGGGGTGCCGCCGGCGAATTTAAGACGAGAAAAATTACTCAATTTTCCCATCACTGACGTCCGAGGTTTTTCAATTTGTCATCTTGTTACAAACAAGCTGGGAACCATTTATCTACAAACCTGGGCGGGATATATACGTAGGAAGCTTGTTTGTAGGTATAAGCGAAACTTCGTTGGAGGAGGGGTATGGGGAGCTTCACCTGTAAGAGAATATGTCCAACATTGAAAACGGCGGAGAGAGGGCAAGGTGGTGGGGACTGGCGAAGAGTGGTGCACATGGATGTGGAGAAGCAGCTCATGGTGGAGCAGTGCTGGGGGATCAGTGGGTCTTTGGGGAAGCATATTTATAGCAAGAAGATGTATCATAGAAGGTGGTATGGTGAGTGAGAGTCAAGAGAGGTGGGGAAGAAGAAACAGGGAGGGCGCGGAGAAAGAGGTATAGATCTAAAGTCAGAGGAGAGAGGAGACCTCCCAGGTTCAAGCAATTCTCCTGCCTCAGCCTCCCCAGTAGTTGGGATTACAGGCATGTACCACCACCCCCAGCTAATTTTTGTATTTTTAGTAGAGACGGGTTTTTGCCATGTTGGCCAAGCTGGTCTCAAACTCCTGACAAGTGATCCACCCACCTCGACCTCCCAGAGTGTTGGGATTACAGGCCTGAGCCACCACGCTCCACCCATTTTTGTATTTTTAGTAGAGAAGAGGTTTCACCATGTTGGCCGGGCTGGTCTCAAATGATCAACTCCTGGCCTCAAGTTATCCACCTGCCTCGGCCTCCCACAGTGCTGGAATTACAGGCATGAGCCACTGCGCCCAGCCCAAGATGTTACTACAGGCCCCCGCCACCACGAGGTTAAAGGGGGATAAAGCTTCTAGCCAAACAGAAGAAAGAAGGCCTGTAAGCTACATGAAGTGCTGTTCTTGTTACCAGGGAGAATTACTTTAATGATCATTTCTAATGATCTGCTCCTGTCCTTCTGTTCCCCAGCTGACCTGATGTGTGCCAGGAAGTTACTCTGTAAATATAGTCACATTTCTGTTAAACTTTTGCTTAAAAAATTACATGAGGTCAGGAGATCGAGACCATCTTGGCTAACACGAAACCCACCACCCTCTACCGTAATCAAAACTCCCCGGGTGACGGCGCCTGACTCCCAGCTACTCGGAACTGAGGGGCGGGAGAATGGCGCAAACCGAGGCGGAGCTTGCAGTGAGCTGAGATCCGGCCACTGCACTCCAGCCCGGGCGACAGCGCGAGACTCCGTCTCAAAAAAAAAAAATTAAAATAAAAAATTAAACACCATGGGTGTGTGATATTTCAAATAGCTTGTGTAGTAAGTAATCAAATGTGAAATCTAATTAGAAGAAAAAATGAGATGGTCTCTACTTTGCCTAGGAGCCCTAACACAAAGACAAACACAAGACAAAACCTAAAGGGACAGAGTTTCATCTGCAAGAAGAAAAAGACTTCACGATGCTGGAAGTCAGGAAAAGCTGGAGGGAAAAGATATTTTTTTCAGCATCTACCAGCTAAAGTAATTTGGGAAAGGGATCCTGAATTAGACTGCCTCCTTTTCATTGCCTAGTCATGGTCCCCTTCAAAAGGCCAGAGACAAGGAGTTAGGAGGCTTCCAGTTAACTATCACTGTCCACAGGTTGACTTCTCACTGCCAGTTGTCTTTACTTTTGATAGGTGAATTGACAAAACAGACTAGGGATTCCTCCACCTCCCCCACCACGCCATACCACTCAGCATTTTATAATGAATAATTCAAGCACACGGAAAGGTTGACAGAATTGTACAGTAAGCACCCATTTACCTATCACCTAGGTTCTATCATTAACACTTTGCTATCTCTGCTTTATCATATATGGAGCCATCCATCTATCTATCCTCAAAAAAGATTTCCTTGTTGCTGATCTATTTTAAGAGCGAGACCTTCTTAAACGTGTAATGCAAATACATTAAAAAGTATTTAATATCAGTAACTCCAAGAGAAAC